ATATATATATATACAAATACATACACCCACCCACCCGCATGCGCGCGCGGTCACGAAGGAACACGCACGTGCACACGCACACGCCCGAGCACACACATGCACACGGGCAAACGCACAAGGCTTCAGCTAAGCACAGGACGTTTGAAGCCATATTATTCCTGACGATTCCTAAACTATCGTAGTCATACAGCAACATTTCCATTTCCCCAAATCATAAATCCCTGTTTACGAAAGCCGGTGAATCAATCTTCTGCAGGTCCTCCACGAGCCACTCGTTGCGGAGTCCGCACGGGATGCCGAGAAGGAGGAGGCACCCTCATGTGCTGACTGTTTTTAAATGGCGGGGAAGGAAGTGGGTAGGGGGGCGGGGGGTAGGGTTTAGGATTTAGGCTGCAGAGTTTAAGGCCTAGTGCAGGGTGAAGGGCTTAGTGTTGAATCAGAGTTGTTGTTTTTGCTGTTTGGTGGGGGTGTGGGGGTGCCTGGAGAGTTTAGGTTTGAGGGTTTCAGGCATCTGATGTTCAGGATGTTGCTCATATTGGAGAAGTGTTGTTTGTGCTTTTGCATCGTGCTTGAAGGGTAAAGGGTGGGATCCTCCAGCTCAAGGATAGGAGAGCCTGAAGGGTTGGCCTAGAAGTCGAGTAGGTAGCCTTTGTCCTTCGTGTGGTCTTGTCATGTCCCTATAGAATCCCGAAAAATCCAGTTGGGGTTTAAGGGTATAAAACAATGGGGTTTATGAGTTTGGGGTTGTGGATTTTGGTGTTTCGGGGGTTTGGGTTCTCTGTTAGCTTCCGGGTTTGGGTTCTAGGGTCCACAGGAGGTTGGGATTTTGCGGGGCAGTGGCGTTCTACGGGTTGTTTTATTGCCAACCGTTTGCATGGGTTTGGCTTTCGGGGTTGAGGTGGGTCTCGGCTTGAAGGTTTCACTGATTATGATTCCGGCAGTTTGGAGTTTATCTCACTGTTAATCTGTCGGCCTGCTCGAGTAAGTAGGTAGGCCAACCTGTCTAGCTGCTGCCAGCCCCTCACAACCCATGACCCATCATGAACCTCTCCAAGATTGTCTAAAAGTCTGGTAAGTTTCACGGCTTTGGTCATGGTGTCTTCCTGAGGGTTTATGACGCCTAAGCCCAAGGGTGCTCTTTCCTTGACTTCCACCCCGCCCCTTCTCGCAAAGCCTTCAAACCCTTTATTTGCTATACCAAATGATCCTAAGGGCCCGGTGGGGGCAGACCTGAGCAAACCCGAGCCGTAAGTCTTGATATATAATAGAAACCCGACTTTGGACGATGTAGGCACGTAGCATCTTTTGGGTAAGCCTTCGGGTAAGCCCAACGCCTTAGTTTCTCATTACACTGCTTCGGCCCAATACAGGTTCGGAAGAACATATTCCGTTGTAGTCCCTGCAAGACCCTTACTACGGTTGATGATATAAATCCTGCATTACCCATATTACGGAATATACAATAATTCCCACAGCTTAGGGTCCTTGAAGTAATGCAGGATCTATATCATAAACAGTAATTATAAGACAGTAAATTTTAAAACCCGGTTCTTCCTGTCAGGCCCCTGTGTTACAAATACCTCCACCCTGAAACCCAGATGCTAAGCCCTGAAACCCCCAAAACCTTCAACCCCATAGCCCCCAAAACCCCCAACCCCATACCCTATAAACCCTGAACCCCCAAATCCCCCAGCCCCATACCCTAAACCCTGAACCCCCAATATCCCTAACCCAACACCCCTTACCCGAAAGCTCATATTGCAAGCCCGCAACCCAAAAGCCTCCACATCCCCAACACTACGCCTTGCAACCTTAACCCTGAACCCCAAACCCCAAACCCTACCTTACGAACCCAAAACCTACTTTTTTTTTGTAGGGTCCCTATAAATCCCATATTAGGGTTTATAATAAGAACCTACAAAAAAGAGGGTTTTGGGTTCTTAAGGTAAACCCTAAGCCCCTAATCCCCTAAGCCCCTAAACCCATCAGATCTTGAGCCACTTTGAGACCTGAATCTTGACACCCCGAAACCCCTACACCCCTAAACCCCTAAAACCCCTAAACCCTTAAACCCCTAAACCCCCTAAAACCCCTAGACCCTTAAACCCCTAACCCCCGAAACTCGAAGCACCGGGTATCGGGTCTAGGGTTCAGGCTGTAGGTGCTTATTATTTACACCCATAGGCCCCATGGTAGTTCCTTTTTTTTTTGCATATATTTAGGATCCTATTAGGGAAACCCAAAAAGGAACTACTATTACTAAGGGGCCTTATGGGTAGGGCATATAGGGCATAGGGTTTAGGCTGCAGAGTTGCGGGCGTAGGGTTCAGAATTTAGTAGGGTTCCACGTATGCGGAGAATTAGTCATAGATACTTTCCGCGTCAAGGCCCTGTACAAGTCATGCGATGACATTCCCTCCATAACTGTGTTCGAAATTTTACGGCCTCCACAACCCGCTTATACACTTCGTCTTAGGGCCGTGGGTTTAACAGTTCCGGGTGTACAGATGAGGTTTTGGGTTTAGTTCAGTGAGGGGCTGGACTGTATGGACAGTGACCTGTCGGAAGCCCCAAATGGTCGCAGACAGTCATGGCTTCTGTGCTGAAATTTTGTTCAAGAAAGCTTCTGTGCTTGCACCGTGCTTGCACCCAGTTTTTGCGTCAAGCCGCTCATTCCCCCCCCCCCCCCCC